AATAGTCTCTCCATCCATCCATCCATCCATCCATCCATCCATCCATCCATCCATCCATCCATCCATCCATCCATCCATCCATCCTCCCCTACTTATTCCATCAGGATGGCGGTGGGGCTGGTGCAGTCTATGGATGAGAGGCGGGGTAAACCCTGGAGAGGTCGCCATTCTTTCACAGCTAATAGTCCCTCATTGTTTCCAAATGACACAATGAAATATACCTTTGTAAAGAAACTTTGTACTCACCAAAAAACCTTATCAATGCAATGAAAATTGGTTCATTGCTCAATAAAAATATGATTGTCTGCTTTGAAGCCAGTAATTACTTTGGATAAAGAAGATCTAAGTTAACTCTCGACTAACACAAGGACATGCTGTTTCCAATAGAACTTCTGTCAACACATTAGTATTTGTATATATATCTTTTTATTTTTATTATTTTTATATTTATCTTTCAACAGTCATATTGTTCTATTGATGTTTGTAAAATGTGCAAAATCAAGAAAAGTGCTTCTACAGACACCCATCCTAGTGGTCAAATCAGAGTTGACAGCATATAGCAAAGAACAGGAAGTAGGGAGTTTTCACCTAAACAAGCTTCTGCTTAAAAAAACAAACCTGCAAATTCAGCAGATTTGCTTCTTTCAGTTGAGGATTCGAAATAAATCTGCCTCTTTTGCACACAACTAAATTGTTGACAACCATTGGGAGCCACCATTTCAAACTTTTATCAAAAGGTTTGAAATCACACAAACGTCCATCAGTGTTCTTTTATGACTTTAAGAGTAAGATAAGTAAAATATTTTAAGTGTTAGGTTGAACAGGTTTTTTAATTATCCTGCTTATGAAAAAAGAAAACATTCAGCCTCATGTTATCTGTTATCTATTATAAAGGTATATAGAACGAAAAATATAGAATAGAATAGAATAGAATAGAATAGAATAGAATAGAATAGCTTCATTGTCCCACAATGGAAATATTGGGGAATTACACTAACAAAAATAAATAGATGGGACAAAACCAAAGCACCCAAAAATAAATAATAAGAATAAAAAGCAAAATCAAAGTTTCAAAGCAGACAAGAATGAACCAGAGAGGGAAGAAATGGAGTAGAAAACCTTAGAAATACAAAAAAACAAACTGTTTTCAGTTATATTTATTTATCAAGGAAGTAGAAGCTTTCCAAATCAAGCTGGCCAATGTGGTAAAGTTGTTAGATTATGAATTGTGGATATCCTGAGTCAAAGTCCAGACTTGTATCTTAGCAACATACCATGGCATAACCTTAAAGTATATAGTGAAAAGTAAAATTCAATGGGGCTGAATTAACGCATGCTAAGAAGATTAGGATGACAAAACTCATTCATAGCAATGTAAAAATACTGTGCAAACGCTTGATTGCAGTTTTTTTTATATTTTTATTATTATTCAAACATTACTGTAAATTTACCCTTACAGTAAACCTGTAAGGATAAATAAATGTTATATATATATATAGCACATTTCTAAGCTAAAAAAAACAAAATCAAAATAGCCATTAACATTAAGACATAAGTAAAATCAACAATAAATATTGCTGATATATATTTTTTAAAGAACTCAAAGTTTCCAGGTACCCGTTAAATATGTAAAAATTTAAATAGCAAAGGAAGCTTTTTTTTTGCAGTGGAGGGAGAAACAGTGTGAAAGTGGATCCAGATGTTTTCTAACATCACATCTGGTGATTCAAATAGCTGGTAAACAGCAACACAGAAAAAGGAAAGACTCGTTGTCTCATCCAAACCCAAAGTGATATTTGGGTTTACAGATCAAAACCTAAACAAACACCCCCCCAGGCAGCCTGCTGTGTTCTGTCACCCTTGGGTGAATCATCTGACTTCTTCTGGCCCTGCATCCTGCTCTTTCTTAGAAATCAGACCACATGTCACCATGTCTTAAGACAGATGAGGGCAGACAGACGATGACCTGCCCTGGCCTGAGCCTCCTCCTCACATCCATTCTGATTGTGGAGGAGCACAAGTGAGAGTGTGACTTATTGCTCAGCTTGTTACTACCCAGCAAGTCACCAGTGCCACTCATACTTCCTCTATGTACAAGGAGCAAAGGTTGCCTCTATTATTATCAGTAAACAAGTTACTTCCCTATCTGTAAATCTACTTCAATGCTTATCGGCTTTGTTCTTGCTTAGCAGCTTATCTTTATTACTTTCAATGTCTAAAAGCCT